TGGGGGGGGGTGGGGGGTGGGGGTGGGGGGGGGGGGGGGGGGCAGGGTGGGGGGGTGGATGAAGAAAGTGACTGAGATAAGGTGTCGAAGAACAAACAGAGTTCAGAGGTAAAACCAGAGGCTCAGTGTAATTACAGGACTCACCGTGTTTTCAAAGCTTCTTTTTAATTTCCTCTTTCCTGTGGTTGACTGTAAGGAGCAGCAGCGGAAACACGGGGACTGAAGGAGGTCTGGAGGAGGAGAAAAAGAAGGAGTGAAGTCCAGCGACATCACACACACGAACACAAACAAACTTGACATGTAAAACTTGATATATATATGTTTATGTTTATTTATATTTATTTATTTATATAAAATTATATCTTAAGAGTTCTTACGTTTTCCATCACGAAAAAAAATTCAATCGTATATATTTTTTTAATGAATGTGTAGGCTTATATTTCTATTCTAATTAATTTCCATTCTTTTATTATTCCTTCCTTTTCTTGTTTCTTCACTTTAATTACATTTATGATTCTTTACATTTTTGTATTCTCGGTATCTTGAAGGATAAATATGCTAAGATCACCACCGTCTTCACCGAAGTCGAGTTTTGTTTTGATTTCTTTTCCAACGTGTTTGAACGATAGACGGCCACAGGAGACATCGTTCCCAAACGGACACTAGGGGGCGGGGTTGAGTCACAGCCTTACACCCAGCCGCCTCCCCGCAGACATCCAGTCTACCTGGGACAAGTTCATCCGTTTCTCACTCAGGGCGGAGAAACTTCCCACTTTCCCCCCTGAGTGTCTCTCCCTCATTAAGGAGGAGCCTGCAGACACATCGACGGGCTCCACGGTGGAGGCTGACACACACTCACACACTCACACTCACTCACTCACACACTTTTGAACAGGACAAAGTCAGACGCACTCGGTCCCTCGGCGATGCTGATCCGGCTCCACGGCAGAGACTGATCACCGGATCACCCAGGACTGATCCCAGAACCACAGAGGACCGCGGAGGAGCACCCGGAGCAGCGCCCCCTTCTCTGAGCTCCAGGTGAGGTCTGTGAGCAGCTACTGTCTCAGGAATGCACGGACGGATTGCTGCAAGACTTCAGGGAAATTCCTGAGCAGCACTTATTATCCCAAACAAACATGTGCTTTACTGTAGTTTTTTTTTTAAACTCATCAAACCAAGTGTGGATTCTTTGGTGTTTTGGTGCAGCTGAATGAGAAAATATATATTTATATATATATATATAAAAAAGGAAGTAAATAACAGTTGCACTGTTACAGCCGTGCTGTGTCATACATGCAGGATGATCCGGTATCTTCTGTCTGAGGTTCACATCTACAGTCAGGAAAGTTCGATGTCAAGTGGATTAGACTTGAGCCGTTCATTCAAACAGAAGTTTTTTTTAAATTTTTTTTAATTTACAACTGAACTGCTGGGACGTACGATTATCCTCTAAATACACAGTAAAGTATGTGACAGTACATGTTGGTGCAGGGACTGAGGATGAAGCTGGAAGACATTTGAGGCGGATTTGAATTTCTCACATCATCACATCTTTACTTTATGGTCTGGTTAATCGTCGGCCTCCGTCAGGCTGGAGCTGCTGCTGCTGCTGCCGTTTGTGTTGACTTGGTGGTTCTTACGTTTTCCATCACGAAAAAAAATTCAATCATTGTATATATTTTTTTAATTAATGTGTAGGCTTATATTTCTATTCTAATTAATTTCCATTCTTTTATTATTCCTTCCTTTTCTTGTTTCTTCACTTTAATTACATTTATGATTCTTTACATTTTTGTATTCTCGGTATCTTGAAGGATAAATATGCTAAGATCACCACCGTCTTCACCGAAGTCGAGTTTTGTTTTGATTTCTTTTCCAACGTGTTTGAACGATAGACGGCCACAGGAGACATCGTTCCCAAACGGCCACTAGGGGGCGGGGTTGAGTCACAGCCTTACACCCAGCCGCCTCCCCGCAGACATCCAGTCTACCTGGGACAAGTTCATCCGTTTCTCACTCAGGGCGGAGAAACTTCCCACTTTCCCCCCTGAGTGTCTCTCCCTCATTAAGGAGGAGCCTGCAGACACATCGACGGGCTCCACGGTGGAGGCTGACACACACTCACACACTCACACTCACTCACTCACACACTTTTGAACAGGACAAAGTCAGACGCACTCGGTCCCTCGGCGATGCTGATCCGGCTCCACGGCAGAGACTGATCACCGGATCACCCAGGACTGATCCCAGAACCACAGAGGACCGCGGAGGAGCACCCGGAGCAGCGCCCCCTTCTCTGAGCTCCAGGTGAGGTCTGTGAGCAGCTACTGTCTCAGGAATGCACGGACGGATTGCTGCAAGACTTCAGGGAAATTCCTGAGCAGCACTTATTATCCCAAACAAACATGTGCTTTACTGTAGTTTTTTTTTTAAACTCATCAAACCAAGTGTGGATTCTTTGGTGTTTTGGTGCAGCTGAATGAGAAAATATATATTTATATATATATATAAAAGGAAGTAAATAACAGTTGTACTGTTACAGCCGTGCTGTGTCATACATGCAGGATGATCCGGTGTCTTCTGTCTGAGGTTCACATCTACAGTCAGGAAAGTTCGATGTCAAGTGGATTAGACTTGAGCCGTTCATTCAAACAGAAGTTTTTTTTAAATTTTTTTTAATTTACAACTGAACTGCTGGGACGTACGATTATCCTCTAAATACACAGTAAAGTATGTGACAGTACATGTTGGTGCAGGGACTGAGGATGAAGCTGGAAGACATTTGAGGCGGATTTGAATTTCTCACATCATCACATCTTTACTTTATGGTCTGGTTAATCGTCGGCCTCCGTCAGGCTGGAGCTGCTGCTGCTGCTGCTGCTGCTGCTGCTGACGTTTGTGTTGTCTTGGTGTGGAGATGTTGGAGGTTTGTTCATCAGCTCGTCGTCCGCTGTTTCATACTTTTATGTCTATGGGAGGAGTTGGTAAAGTGCACGGTTTTTGAGTTTCATGCAGGAGAAAATCCAAACGTCATACAGAGAGAATATATGTATGAGTAACAGGGATCGAACAGTGACCTCCTTGCTGTAAGGCGAGAGTACTAGCCACTTCTCCATATTGCCCAAAATCATTATTTCTTACATGCTGTGGTTAGCTGTAGCTCAGTGGATAGTGTCGTTGTCTTACATTTAGAGGGTTGTGGGTTTGATTCCTGACCTGGTAGGTTACATGCTGTATATACCGCCCCCTGGCAGCCCTAACCGGCATTAGATAAATGGCAGAACCTGGAGTGTGGCTCTCTTCCGGTGGTCAGAATTACCAGCGCTCTGATGTTCCTTTGTGGCAGTGGATGTTTGTCACCGTGCACACATCTTTACATAATTGTTTTCCTGGTGCCGTCTGACTGTCCCACGTGCCGGGCCCCCAGGGCCCCTGGGGGAAGTCCTGCCCGCAGACAGCCAACTTGGCCCGGCCAGGAACGTGCCGCATCCTGCCGAGCCTCTGAAGTCTGCTGGCTGGCTTTGAACTGCGGCTGCTGGAGGTGGAAATCAATCTGTCTCTTTCAGTCTCTATCTCTGAGTGCGTCTCTCTGTCTCCCCCTCACTCACTCACTCACTCACCCGCTCTCTCTCCCTCTCCCCCCTGCAGCCCCCAGAGCATAGTTCCTCCTCGCCACTGACTCTTTTTATGTTCACAGGTAGAAAGTCAAAGTAGACTCAGATGAAACAGGGGTGGGACCGTAACTCATCTTCAAAGGAAGCTAATATAGTTTCTGGGGATTAAAGGGATGATGGGAGAAAAAAGCTAACAAAGCAGCGCGGCGCCTGTAGCCACGGTCGTCCAACACTGAAGTGAATGGATGATTTGTTTACTTACTCCCTTCCTGCTGGAATTTACACAATTACTGGATTTATTCTGGGCTGATTTTTCAGTAAGGAGTCGTTTTCTTGTCTGAGATTTATGTTCGATGTCACAGCTGATTTCCATCCACGCAGCGAACTCGTTCTGCCCCCACGGAGATGTTTATAGAGTCCAGGAGGTCGGGCTGAGAGTTTACGATGCTCGACACCCTGAAGACCATACGTCTTTCAGAGTGAAGTGTTTTCAGCCACATTTGGTGAAGAGTTTTACTTTGACAAAGTCGATGGTGTCGTTTTTCTCGACCTCTTTTACACTGTGTTGTTGTTTGTCCTTGTCCTTGTTTGTTGACATCTGTCTGCTCGCGAACATCGACGACTATTCATTGTTATTTTGAGGAGAAAAATCATTTGAATTGTGGCATATAGTTGACATAAAGCAGTGATTTACACAGTTGTAATGAACGTACAAGTTATTATAGCAACTATCATTTTTTAAATTGATCAATAACGCTGGTGAATGAATTGTCAGAAACTACAAGTATCAACCGATTTAAACGCATGACTGTCCATAGTTGATTGAACATTGGAATTGACAAAAATGTTTGCTTATTGTTGGTCCAAAATATTTCCCAGAATTCCTTGGGGGTCATTAACCCATCTCTTTGCTTCAAGTACAGCTTAATGACTTTGTTGTCAACAACTGTTTAAGGGAAATTCTAGTGAGAAACAACTTTCATTTACGCTCATGTAGACATGTCTTCTGTAAGGGCTGGGCACCGACATTGAGAACCTAATTGGTGACTTGGCAGAAAAAACAAGACAAAATTTTCCTTGTTTGTTTCTGCCATCCACACGTTTGGTGTCTCCTCACAGGTTCTCAACATAGGGGTCGGACCCTAACCTAAGGCACGTTTATGGTGGGTCAGAAAATATAGTGATTTTGCATCAACTGGTTAAAATAAAAATAGTCTGGAAGTGCTGACAGAGATTTTCATCTGCACTGACAGGGATGTACAGCCTCACAGTGACTTTAAATGAGGATGGAGTTTGGAGATAAAGTTATAGAGACAAGGTGAAGTGGAGATGATGGGAGACAGAGCTGAAAGGCAACAGTAAGAAAAAAAAAAAGTCAGGCGATCCACTGTAACGGAGGAACCCAGGCGTGCAGTGCAGGCAAAAATCACAACTCTAACTTGAAGCGACAGAACGTTTATATCCTTAACTCCACATTGATGTGGTGATGGCAGCATTTCACCAAACAGGATCACTTCATTTGAATCAATTACCATCACATCCCTTCTCTTCAGGGCAGGAGAAGGTGAGATTCTGAGTGAATCAGAATGAGTTCCCTGCAGCCCTTCCAGGAGGTCCGCGAAAAAAACCCATCAGTAGTAGCTGCATTTCATTATATTTTAATTTCCATGCAATAATCCCAGTGAGGCAACATGGAAGGATTAAGCCGTCTTAATCATATGTTCCACTCTCTCCGCACAGACAGCCCCGAAAACCAACACTAAATCAACAGTTTAAACCTCCTGTTGGCCTGGGGGAGTCGGGTTAATCAGATTTGGGAGGGTGGGTTTGTGGCCTAATTTGTGTCAATTAAATGTTCTGCATATGGAGGAACCTTCTGCAGTCAGTCATCAGTTCCTTTGATTCACTGTTTGCGAAGTGAGATCTGGCATTCGACTCCTGCTGTTTTGTAGAAACAGAAACCGCGGGTGAGGTCCTGGAAATCGCACACACAAACAGGCGAGTGGATGCAGCGAGATGAAGGTACGACTGGTTGTTGTGCGTTGTGGGGACCTGTTGCTCACGACGACAGGTCTAATCTGCACCTCTGTCGGTTTCTGATGTGGTCGATGAAGACCGCTGGCACTCAGTAAGGCACTGAAGGATTCATGCGTTTGTGCGGCCACCTGCGCAGGTGTGTGTACGCTCTGGTCGGAGGGTGTGATCGGTACTGCACCCTTTAAATGTGTTGATAGCGGCAACTTTAAATATCTGCCCGAGTCAAAGGAAACGTCTTGGCGTCTGTCAGTACCGACCTCGTCAGCAGGTTTAAAAATACTTAACTAAATGCTATTTTTGGCAAATTCACGAGATTTCGTGCTTTGAACATAATCACCCTCCTGTGAGGAGTCCTCGGCTTTTTACCTCTGCCAAGGCAGTTATGTTTTCATTGCCACCTGTCAGGGTAACTGTTAGCAGGATTACAAAAAAAAAAAAAAACAACTCAAAAGATTTTCTCAGAACTTGGCAGCGGGGCGAAGGCCACGGGAGACGTGACTACATTTTTGGACCGGATCCAAGCGCGAGAATAGACAAAGCACCATCGTCAACATAAACAGTCGCTTTATAGTCGCAGTTGATTGGCTCTTCTTTGCCTTTGCTCCCCTGCAGAGGGAGCTGTAAGCATGATGTGGTCAATGAAGTGACTGCACTGCACCACATTACTGTGTTACGTTCATCTAAACTTGGTGAATAAAAAGAACGGCACGAAATATAACAAACTATTTAGCTTTCAAGCTAGTCGGGCTAATGCTAATTATTAAGAAAAATGATTTAGTCTTAGCCAATGTGTAGCTCCAACTGTAGTTGCTGAAGGTGAAGTAACTTAAATACTTTCTGGAAAGGAGAGATATTTTTTTATCTGTCATGGGACTCAAACCAGCAACCATTTGATTAGAAGCCCCAGCTGAACCTCCAACCAGTAAACATATATATATTTGAATGGTAGACAGTGCCATCTATACAGAACTCGCCTCCAGCAGAAAAAGACGACCACACAGGGTAAAGAGCAGATAAACCATGGTTTATCTTTCACTGAGATTTCTGCGTAGTCTACCTTCAAGAAAAATCCTCCTCGTGGTGTGAGGTCATTACCGTCATAATCCTCATCTGCTCATCATAATAATTAAATCCCTGTGGTTCCTGAAAGGCTTACCGACTGCTGATCTAATCTCGGCGACAAAACATCCATGACGCGGCCTTTAAACAATAATTTATAACGGAGACAACGTTGCCCGCAGTCACTATAATTTAGGTGTTAGTCTGCTGGGATACAAGGAGCCGTCCTGATGAATTCCAGGTCGGAGATTAGCCTTCCCACCTACAGCCGCCGCAAAATAAACAGAGACGAGTGTGGAGACGAGGGAGAGAGAGAGAGACAGAGAGAGAGAGAGAGAGAGGAACAAGGGATCAGGAGAGGAGACGATGAAAGACAGATCACCAGCAGGCAGGGAATCAAAGGGACTACTGACTGACTGACTGACTGACTGACTGACTGACTGACTGGAGCTGGGAAAGGTGTGTGTGTATGTGTGTATGTGTGTGTGTGTTACTTCTTTTCATGTGCCCTAAGAGTTTGTTTTTCCTGCACGTTGAGTGGGAAGCTGACAGTAAGTCTGTAATTAAAGCAATCAAAAGATGAATAGAATTGTAGGA